TGTGTGTGTGTGTGAGAGAGAGAGAGAGAGAGAGAGAGAGAGAGAGAGAGAGAGAGAGAGAGAGAGAGAGAGAGAGAGAGAGAGAGGAGACAAACACACACGAGAAGCAACAACTTAGTGAAGGTCCAGTCCGACTCAATGGATGAACGAACAACTGAAAGAATGACCAACCCGGCCCGGGCCTAGGCCAGAGAGATATACCGGCCATGGTCCAGGCCGGAGTAACCCGGTACCGGACCGGGGTTAGGCCGACGGCCTGAAACAGGTCCGGCCTCACTGTCGGGCCAAAGGGTACCGCTGCAGCAGGGTCAATGTATAGCTAAATTATCCCGAGAGCAATCGCCACAGAATCTGTTGGGAGGGCTAGGTGGAGATGGTGGAGGATCAGAAGATCCTCTAGAGCGCACGGGCTTGGAGGTTAGTCAGAGCAAACGTTGACTCCTGCCTTGCACCTTAAGGAAAGGGTAAAAACCACCTCAGTTGACGAAGAACACCGATGACCCCTCGATGGAAAGGAATCACTCCTGGTTGACCGGCCTCATGTGCATGGCCTAGTGGGCCATTACCATCCCCCTCCTCCTTCTACTATTTCCATCTTCCTCCTACCATTTCCACTCTTAAGATGGGTCCGAGTCATAAGTGCGACCTCGATATTACCGACACTCGCATCTCAAGGAGCCATGCTCTCCGCGTGCACTGCTGAACCTTCACTTTGACGCCCAGTGTAGAAAGCTCGGTGTCCACGGGCGAATCGTAGCAACCTCGTAGTCCCATTTCAGTTTCATGCCTGAGCTCGATGTCCATGGCCGATTCGTAGCAACCTCGTACTCCCATCGTCATCGTTCTGGAACACACCGGAACAGTCCCACTGGCTACCTCGAAAGGATACCAGTCCGGCTTAGCCGGTACCCCCAAAGGGTGGGTATGGAGGGGGTATGGCGGATCCTTCATCGCGATGGTGGGGTTGACGACGAGGTAGGGCACAGGTCCTTGTCGCAAAGTCACACGAAGTCCTGGTCGGTGCGGGTTGCGAGTGGCGTAGCTATGTGCTAACCAACCAGGACTTCACCGGTGCCACTCGGCGGCGGCATCCCCTATACCAAGCCCAATTCCCAGTGAGCCTGCTCGATCTTTTTACCAGGACGACGTACTGGTGGTTGAACTTCAGAAAAGACGGAAAAAAAGAAATTTGATCTATTAGCAGGGCGGCGTACTGGTGGTTGAACTTCAGAAAAAGAGGGAAAAAAAGAAATCTGATCTTCACTGTACTGTTCCACTTTTAACGGATGTCCCGAAGGACCAAGTCCCACCTTTGTTTGTGGCGCAACGGGAATTTTCGCTGAAAATTGTATCCGACGGCGTCCGATACGGCGCCCATTCCAAATGTTGGTCGCGCAGCCGGCAAGTGGAGATGAATGCCATCTCAGCGACCTGGACGGGTCGCCCGAAAACAACAGTCAACTGTACACGTCGCGCCCGTGTAACAGATTTAGATGCGTGGTTCCTATTTAGAACGTTGTCGCGTAGCGGAGCACTGTTTACCCGCGCGGTTCTTTTTCCTTCTGAGGGTCTTGTCCCCGGCAGTTCCTCCCGATTTTTACATTTCTCATCGCCCACAAGGAGAGAGTCCTCTTGCTATACTACCGCAGCATCCGCGTATCTATATGGACTATTCTGAAAATTTCAGTCCTACCGAGTCGGAAGGAGCGGGTGAACATACGATTCATTCTCGGCCGTTTCGTGCGGCATGGGACGATGGTGTTCATGTCGTAAGCGTTGTGGAAGCTGGATGCTTGGAATCGAGGGGAATCTCGTCGTTGTATCGTGCGTGGCTTAGCGAAAAGTTAGGCGATTGCTTCGCAGCCGCGCTCGTGCTGCCGAGTCAATCAAAGGCCAGTTGGACAAAGAGGGTTATTGGGTATGAGATATATCCACACATGTTTCTGCGGTCCATGAATGAGACTTTTGCAATGGCTGCAAAGGGTTCTATTTCCGGAGAGCTGCTCCGTCTTCGTCGAGCACAGAAATGACCGGTTTGGTAGAGGTTTTGCGCGGGAGAGTTTATAGGGCTTCGTGTGCATTTCGCTAGGATTTCAGGCAGCTGTATCATCCAGGCCGTTGATGTAACGAATCTACATCAACCATAGCCTGTTGATATGTGTCGTTTCCAGCGGACTGCAAGTGTCCACAGACAGTATCTCGATTCGACGAAGCTTGAATAAGGTTGTTGGAACCACTTTTCTCGGTTGATGTTTTTTTCCTGATTCGTTGATTGATTGATCTATTAATCGGAATTGAAGGGCGGTTATTGAACTGGAAAGAGAAGGCGAAAATCTGCATCTGCTTCCGTTCTGAAGATGGGTCGTCTAGGCAAATTGGCCCACGATATGCCCTCGTGTTTCGTCTGGTGTTGCTTTTGCGCCAAGGATGTCCATGACGACCAGTACCGTCCTCCTGACGCGGCCCACGAAGGTCTGACGCTATATCCCTTTCCTTCCCATTCTTTTTCTGTAACTGCTCCCGTCTGTTCCTATCTTCCCTCTGTGGCCGCCCGAATATCCCGTTACCTCTCTCTCCACTTGTCACCTCTTCCCAGCCTCTCTTTGTCGCCCTTCACCCTGGTTTCCGTTGTTTTCCTACGTCCACTACATCTCACCTCCTTTCTCTTCCTTCCTCCAGCCCCGTATCTTCGGGCAGTACGTTCCCTTCCTCTCCCTGTATACGCTGGTATCTCTGCGTCTCTCCCTCCCTTAGCTCTCTCCCTCTTACTATCCTCTCCCTCTCTCCATCCCTCTCTCCCTCCCTCTCCCCTCGCCGTCTCTGCTTGTCTCCTTCCCCTCTCTCTCTCCACCTCTCTCCCCCCCTCTTCGCCCTTCTCACCCCCTCTCCTCGTCTCCCTCCGTCCCCCTTTCCCTCTATCCCTGTCGGCCGCTGTCTCCCTCTATCTGTCTCCCTCTATTTGTCTCCCTCTCTGTCGCTCCCTTCCTCTCTCTGTGGCTCCCTCCCTCTTTCTGTGGCTCCCTCGTCTCTCTGCCGATCCCATCCTCTCTCTCTCTCCCTCTGTCCCTCTCTCCCTCTGTCCCTCTCTGCCTCTCCCTCCCCTTGTCGTGCTTTTGCTCTCTTCCCGTGTCTCTCCTGCGCTCCTTCCCTCGTCCTCTCCCTATCTCGTCATTAATCTGGTCCCTTTTTCGCTTTCTACTTCTCTCCCCACATATGGCCTCCACGCTCCTCATTGTCTCTCTCATTAGCTTTATATGCCTCTTGGACAGTAGACATTAACCCTTTTCTTCCCTTCCTCCTTGATGTCGCCTCTTCCTTGATCCTCATCTTTCTATGGTTCGCTTTCCCTCTTCGGCGTCGAACGCACATTATGCTTCTCCTCTCCGCGTTCGTCTCCTGCTGTCGCTCCATCATATCTCGCCAATCCTGACTTCCTCGGTTTCCACTTCTCTCCCTGCACTTCTTCCTCCTTTGCTTCCCCCACTCCTTCTCTCTTGCCTTCTCTCTTGCTTTCCCCGTGCACCCTTCCACCATCTCGCTCTCCTTTGCAATCTCGTCACCTCCTCTTCTCGCCGTGGTTCTGTCCACATCATTCTCTTTTTTCCATTTAGTTCTTCGTGTCGCGCATTTCCTCGTTTGCCCCTCGTATTAGGTCGATCTCTTTAACCATTTCAATTTACATCACCCCCATTCCCACTATCACTGGACGTCCTCGTGCATTAACTGGGTTGCTTCTTGTCCATTTCTTCCCTCCATTCATCTCACTCGCGTTGGGGTGTTTATCCCGGCGAAAGGGCGAGCAGCAGCTTGTCGCCCTTATTGGATGCGGCAATGTCTGAACCGGAAAGTCGCTCCATCTTGAAACGGGAACAAAGTGGTGCTCGCAAAAATTGCCTTGCACAAGGATATTAAGAGAGAGAGAGAGAGAGAGAGTTCTACGTCTCACATTTTGTGTTTGACAGCGCTAATGTGCGGGTGGGTCATATTTATTTGAAATATTTGATCACGCAATATGATGTGTAGCGGTACTGTGTAAAGGAATGGTGGAGGTGCACCTTTATCGCGGTATACGCACGAACTTATCGACCCCCAGCGCTTATGTGGCCCATCTACACACCCGATGAGATATGCGAGGCGTACTAACGAGGTATGCGGAGCTCGGACGTCTGGCGTGATAACACCGTGTGCTATGCTCAGACATAGCATGCCAACCCAAGGTTTCAGTCGTTTATCTCCAGACGGGCTGTAATATGTTCTAACCTGGCTTCCGATGACATAGGAATGTCGAAATCTCCTGGTCCTCCTCTACTGAGCAATCGTTTTCTAAGTTCTACTGACTCAGTGTCACAGGATGGGAGGGGAAGTGTGCGCGGCTTGTTCATGTGAAAACGTTTTGAGGTCTTCGCTGTCAGGAGGCTGTGACCTGCTGCTTCCGGCAACAACATGTACGTAAGGGAACCTTGCTCTTGCACAAGCCTACAGTGCTTATCGCTACTGGAGTTCTCAGGCTTGTGTGCATGTGTGCGCCGGGAGAGAGAGAGAGAGAGAGAGAGAGAGAGAGAGAGAGAGAGAGATCCTTACGGATATCGATTCGGACGTTCGTGCCTGTGTGGTGTGTGTCAGTGATTCCCGGGAGGATACCGATTGAGACGTTCG